GCTGTCGACAAAGCTTGAAAGATGTGAAATACTGAGAAGCGGGCATAATTTCGATAGTTTTTCTTGGAGTCAAGCTTTCTTCTATTAGTAGACTTCCCAAAATATTTGGTATCTAAACTAGAAGGTTTATTCTAAAAGCAAGAGTGAACCAGCCTTGCTAAGATGGTATATAAAACTTACAGAAGAATCTCACATATTTTTGTTAGCCCCTCCTTTTTTTTTTCAAGAAAAATTTTATAAAAAGTGGGTGATTTAGTTTACTTCCTTTAAAATATCGATAAATTGTTTATTTACCAAATTGGGTAGCATTGTTTACTTTTTTACTTGTCATAACAAATATGTGGATATATATAGAGTAGTAGACTTATGATTACATATCTCAAATATGGTGATTTGAACAAATGATGCTCTGAGCCTACTAGTATGATTTTTCGACCTCTCTATGGTGCCAACGTCAAAAAAGCTTTCCTTTTTTTTTTTGTTTTTTTGAGGTTTTTAAAGTTTAGACATACTATGAATATAAATTAGTGTAGAGAATAGTTTAAATAGTAGTATATAATTTTTACAAAGCTTGATACAGGCTTATAATTGTGATCATCCATTATAGGTTTCCCTTTTGAATAAATAATTTTATATTTAGTTTAGTTTTCTTATTCTTCCCTTACTCCTTCTTATTTCTTGTTTGTTTTTTTATATATTCTTCTATATCTCTGTATTTCTTTATAAAACTTTTTCTTTTTCTTTCACTTCTTTATGAAAAGATGTCATCAGATTAGTGTATTCTATTGTAGAGTGGTCAAACAAGAACCCAAGCAGGTATTATCTTAATTGATCATATCTTACCGGTACAGTAGATTATCTGTAAGTACGTGTAGATAACTATTAGATTATGCAAGATAATTGCAGGATGTCAGATCTAAATATTAATATTATGTATATCTACATGTGGTGCTTTATTAATAAAGATACTAGCACAATCCACCAAAGTGAAGCAAAAAAAAAACAAAAAAATAGTTTTTTTTTGTGATTAAAATATAGTATAGGTTGCCTCTTTTTATTAGCATTATACCAATTTTTGGCTAGAATTATCACAGAGAAACCTGTATATATATATATATATAATACTATTATATATCCTTTTTTTATACAATTTTTAGGCTATATACCCTATTTTTTAGGATATATACCCATTTTTGAGATATATACCCTATTTTTTAGAATACATACCCTATTTTTTAGAGTATATTTTATGTTATATAACCTCTATTTTTAGGGTCTAGAGTACTTTTTGTGTAATCTAGACTAAATAGAGGTCTTATAGGATATACATCTATTTTTTGGAGAACATACCAATTTTTAGAGTATATACCCTAAATTTAGAATAGCATGGTAGACAAACCCAATTTTGGGTGATCGTCATTGTGGCTTAGCCAATTTAATAAAAAATTTTTTTGATTTTTTATACAGGTTAAAGTACTTTTTATTCTTGCGGTTTCTCGAAACCTACCAAATTAACCTACTCTAAAAAAAAAGAGAGTAAAAAGTCTTTGAATAACCTATATACTGTTAAAATTAATCCCAAATAATCCCAATATTTAAAAAGTTTTACTAGTAGCAAATTTTATAGGAAATGGACAGCAATTCAGCTCAAGATTCGATCAAAAAGTGCGTTGTGAAGATCAGCAAGCGAGTTCCAGCCTTAAAATAGAAAAAAATAACTGACAACGTGTTAATTAAGGCAGAAGCTAACGGAACTTTGGCTTCATATTACAAAGATCATAAAGATGAGTATATGTGCTTGAACTGTTATAACGCGATCGTAGTAAATGGGGCAAGCGCATACGTAGAACATGCAGCTGAATGGACAAGAGGATTAAAAAGGTGTCGTAATGTTAATCTTTCTATGTCTGAGTCTATTTCATTACTAATTAATATTATTATTGAGAGAGAAGTTATAGGCAACGATCCACCTATTGTTACATTTTCTCAGCTTAAGTTAATTGCCGAAGATAAAAACGATCAATTGAGTTTTTTCTTTAATGAAATTGAAGAAATGGCTTGTTTGGAGAAAAAAAACGAAGCTGAGCAAAGGGCTCTTGAATGATCTCTGGCATATCAGTATTATTTAATGTGCTAGAATCAGTGTATGGCTATACTACTTTGGAATTTGAAAGACGAGCCGATGGCAAGCGATGATAATTTTTCGTGGGTAGATTGTGTTAATATCTTGACGAAACTTTTATATGATAGAGAGAAAAATATACAGGAGCTGATTATTTATAGCTTTAAACAGCTGCGAAGAGAAATGGTAGCTAAGGATTTTAGGCTAAGTAGTTTCTTTGATTCAATCTATAATGTATCTTTTTCCCGAAAATAGAAGTAGTAAATATTTAGATAAGCTAGATAAAAAATTGGCAGTTGAGTATTATATTATTTGTAGTAACCAAAATGCTAAACTAATAGTGTTTAAAAAAACTATTTCACTTTTTGTAGATTTGATGAGAGTTTCTACAGAGACTATCGATACCTTATCACATGCTGGTATAACGATTTCACGAAGGTATCTTGATAGAGAGAAAACAGCTATCGCTGATAATCATCTGCATAAGGTTACTTCATATCTGGAGAATAAAAAAACTAGTGCCTTAGTGCTTAACGTCGATGATTATCACAATATTCATACCAAATGAACCCCTGATACATGCTCAACATCAAGTGCGGCACACATGACAACCTTGTTGCTAAATGGTGTTGACACGATAGCTATTCCACAAGTCATACCAAATGGTATATCAATTCATAATCCAAAACTAATTGATTCTGATCTTATATGTACTTTTTTAGATTCCTATTATATGGGACGAATAGCTAAAACTTTTAATGACCAGTTGCATTATGAAATATCTTTGGACGAGAAGCTTGAAAATATTACTCTTCACAAATACGATGATCGCATAAAAGAACGATGGGAAGAGCGTAAAATGAAAGATACAATTCTTTTAGACTTTTTTGAATTAAGTCTAAAAGATATGGATTCGTATATTATTGTTTTAAAAGAAGTTTATAAGATTCCTTTATTAACTAATTATTTAACCAATTGTGTTATTCCAGTTGTAGCCGATTGGCCTGAGCAGGTTTTTACTCAACAAGCCATTACTCTTCGTTTACTAAATCGTAAAGATGATATACCAAACGATATATTATCTTTTATTCCAATTATTGGTGTCCTTCATATTCAACTGAATTTACTCAAATCAATATTAAAGACCTACTGGGACTCTTTTAATTTGGAGTATCAATATATCTTTAGTACAACTAAAACGCTGAGTAAATCACCAAGCCCGTATCGAATATTCATTCTTTTAGAGCTAATAAGGGGCGCTTGGAAAGAAATCAAACCAATCGTAGTAGGTAAGTTTGATAATTGTTGTAAAGATACTGAGTTTCTATTTTTATTTGAATTATTAGACAATACGGTACTAGTAGGGTTAGATATATATTCAACTTTATTTCGGTCTAGGGATTGGAATTTATATATCGAAGACGTATTTCGGGCATAGTGTATTTTTTTGAGGTTTGAAAGGCATAACTATAATAAAGCGCCTTTAGCATTTCTTTCAGATATATTCTATTGGAATCAGAATAATCATCCGATATTACTGTATTAGATGTACTAAAAGACATTTAGTTAAGTTTACAGATTATCCTGTTAAGAATATGCATAGTAGAATACGACGTCAAACCTCACTTTGTGATACCTCGCAACAATTTTCTAAAACAGCCAAAGTTGTTGACGCCAGAAAGACCCTTAGCGGATTTGAAGATGTATTCGTTGTTCAAAAAAAA